TTCCTGTTTTTTTTCAGCTCATGTGAATGATGAACTTTTTTTTATAAATGGCCAGTGATTCTCTAAGAGAATACATTCCAGTTTTTTCACTTGGCAATAGTTCTATAACTTGCTTGCGAGAATTTTTTATATTTAAAAGAAATGTAGGTACTTGAAACAAAACAGCACAAAGTGCCATCTATTACCAAAATTGACCAGTGTGGTCGGAGAAACGGAAGTTTTATTATGTAAGTAAGGTATATCTGAAGTCAGTTGAAATAGCATAAAAACCTTTGGTCGGCGCGTCCTTTGTAATTTCATGACGTATCATAGGCGTGCGGATTTACAGGAGGCAAAACACAATATTCATTTTCTTTTTCAATAATATGCCTAGAACACTGCTTCCATAGGTCTGTGGCAGCAATATGAGATACTGCATCTCTTATTGTGGCCAATAGCGATTCACTTAATTGAGGGGTCTGCTCATGTTTTCTGACTTTTTTTTTAAAGCAGCCCAGACCAACTCAATCGGGTTAAAAATGCAGTAATAGGGAGGTAGACGTAATACTTCATGGCCATTTTGCTGAAGCAGATTGTCAACAACATACTCTTTCAAATTTTTGTCTTTTAATAAGATCCAATAATATGGCTTTGGTTGATTTTTGTGGTATTTCCATTCCCTTATCTTTCATAAAATCAATAATGTCTTGTTTTTTTGTGCCTGTATTCGGAATTTTGTTTTTCTCTCGGGAATGGTATGGCGCATTGTCCATAATAATCACTGAATTTGGGGAAATGTTTGGTATTAACTGCTGCTCTATCCACTTTTCAAATAAGTCGGAGGTCATGTCCTCATGATAGTCGGCACATGATTCTTTGATATTTTTGGCAGATAACAGCAAGGCATTAGGTATAAATCCATTTCTACTGCCAGCATGGAGAATAATGATTCGTTTTCCACGGTTGCATGGTGCATTTAAAATGCACTTGTTGCTGTCATCAACCCAGCCGTACTGCACAACATCATGGGTATCATGCCACGTTTCATCCAGGTAAATCAGATTTCTTTTCTGCTCTCTATAGATTTTAACTTTGTGCAAAAATTCTTGGTGCAATTCAACGATTCGAGACGACTCCATAATCACCATTCTTTTATCTAATTTTTTGTATTGAAAACCACACAGTTTTACAATACAGTGCAGTGAGTCTAAGCATTTGTAATTATAAAAATCTTCAGGATAATCTTTTAATTTATCCCGTATCATTTCCAACGTGGGCACCAAATTTTCTTTATAAAATCCGTATATTATACGACGAATATCTTCCTGAAAACCCACTTCTATTCTTTTTAATTTTTGCCCTATGCGCTTTCTGTGGAAGGAATGGTTGACTACATCTCCTCTTTTTATAACCCGATAAATGGTAGACCGACTGATTTTTGTCAGGATACAAATTCTGTTTAAAATTTGATTTTGCGAGGAATCTGGATTTTCGTTTTTCAGACAATCATACATATTTAGGATTACTCTTTGGGTCTGTTCCTCTAAATCTTTATGAAAGAATTCTGCCTGCACAGGTTCATCAACCATCTCCTCGTGGCTTGGAGCATTTTCCCAAGGTCTCCAAAGAGCCATATTTAGGACACACAAGAACAATCAACACAACAATTAAATCAACAAGTAAACTGAGTATTCAAAAGTCAAAAACACACAAACTAATAAAATCTATGAAAAAACACGGACAGACTAAAGAAAACACGTTTATTCACCGCTACACGGCACTGGCTAAACTGTTTCAATTTTCAGTAGCCACCTGCACTTGTTTCGAGCTCTGAAATACACGCTTTCTCATTGGCTATGTCCACGCATAGGCGTGCTTTACTCCACGTGGACCGGTGGGGATATTTGCTGCGAAATTTGGCGATTTTTGCAGCAACAGAGCGTGTTAAATATAGATATATAAAACGCACCCGGTATTTCACAGTGTTTCAAGTGACTTCAGATAAAGTATACTTGTCCGCGTTTTCGCTGACGGTTTACCGCGCATTAGCTTTGTGATATCAAACGTACTTATTTTTGAAAAGGAAAGTCCCAACTTTTAGGACACCCTGTTTTACACAGGATATCAATCTGGTTAATCGATGATACTTCCTTAATACGTTGCCTATACATCGAGAACTGCTCGATACAAAGGCTCTAGTATTTCTAGACTATCGAAAATGAAATTTGTTGTTTTACTCTTTTTCGCGTATTTAGTAGGTGAATTTTGAGTTTTGGAATGATCGACCTGACTATTTCATAGTGATTAATAATCTACAAGTGTGATGAATTTAGGTCTTAAGCAGGAAGCTTCAAATATAAACGACTGGCATGTAGGGGAGATGAGTGTCATTAAGGAAACATTTCTAGACAAATATGGATAAAATAATTGAAAGCAATCAATAAATGTCTCGTACCAAATTAGTTAAAAAATCTATTTTGTTACATGTGCATTCTAAGGAAATATACTAAGTGACATATAAATCCGAACACCCAGTTTAAATGGTTTTATTTTAATAAAAGTTGGTGAATGTATTTATCTTACTGTAAATAACAAGTGAAAAAATTTTCAGGCTTATCAGTTGGACATTCCGGTTTTTAAACTGCTTTTTTTTATTCACTAACGCTCTACAAATGAATATTTCAGCCGCAGTAAAGAATCAACGTTAGCGGATTTTGGTTCTTGACATCCTTTACGATCGGTTACGATGCCTAGAGTACGGAGACCTGTACGATTTCGTCAACTTGGTGAGTTTGATAGGGGCCGTATAGTGGGACTTCGGGAAGCTGGACTTTCTTTTCGGGCAATTGCAGTTAGAGTGCAAAGAAGTGTAGACACTGTGGTTAGGTGTTGTCAGGCATGGCTTCGAGAAGGCCGTACGCAAAGAGCAAGGGGCACTGGACGCCGCCGTAGAACAACAGACCCTGAAGATCGCCGCCTAAGATTATTGGCCTTAAGGGACCGTTTCTCCACTACCAGGTCCATTGCAAATGAACGGTTTGCAGAACACGGAAGACCTATTGGCATGCGAAGTGTTTACCGACGAATGAGAAGTTTTGGCTTGTTTTCATACCGGCCACACTGGGTCCTCCCTTTAACTCGAGAACACCGACGTAATCGCCTTGAGTGGTGTAGACAACAGTCACTCTGGGATCAGGAATGGAACAGTATTGTCTTTAGTGACGAGTCTCGATTTTGTTTAGGCATGCACGATGGTCGTGCCAGGGTTAGAAGGCGACGTGGTGAAAGGAGGAATCCACAGTTTTTTGTTGAAAGACATGTTCATCACACTGTTGGGGTGCTATAGCTTATGGTTCCAGGTCACCTTTAATCTCCATCAGAGGTAACATGAACGCGCAGCGTTATATCCACGAAGTTCTAGAACCCCATCTTTTACCCTATCTTGACACCCTGGCAGATCCAACTTTCCAACAAGATTATGCCCGACCACATGTTGCAAGAGTCACAATAGACTTCTTTCAACATAATGATGTCACATTGTTACCATGGCCACCAAGATCTCCCGACTTATCCTCAATTGAGCACGTGTGGGATATGATGGGTAGGGGATTGCTCAATTTGCAACGTTCTCTTCAGACTCTAGAAGCACTTCGAGAGGAGTTGGTGGTTGCCTGGAATGAGATACCACAGGAGGACATTGACCACCTGATCAGAAGCATGCCTAGGCGCGTTGGAGAATGCGTAGCACATCAGGGTGCATCCACGCATTATTAAAGGTCAAAGGGCTTTAAAGCAGTGCAATCATTTTGAAATTTTTATCATTTACTTATTATGCTTCATTAAGTACTTATACATAATTTTATTAAAATAAAACCATTTAAACTGGGTGTTCGGATTTATATGTCACTTAGTATATTAGGCAGCATAAAGTGCACAACTTTCCAACGGAAACTTTATTCTAAGAATGGGCGCATTGGGGCACAGAAACTTAAATAAAAAGGGTGTTCGTAGAACGCTAATATTTGTTTGATTATAGAGGTATGAATATGATAAATTGGATGTTATGAAAAGGAATATTCAACTGTAATAGAAATTCAAAACAACAGGTAAATTTCAGCCGGAAGAGGTTTTTTTAGGGTTGATTTCTCCCATCTGCCGAATTGGCAGGTGTCTGATAGAGTAGATCTTCAAATAATATGGAGAAAATCATTTGTTGATCTGATTGTACAGATTCTAAAAACTCGTATATCCCGTTCAAATGCGTCACCAATGAATGAATGACCATCTATGTGTCTGATCTCTGGATCCAACTGGATCGCCCGGGATTAGCAGGCACTCATTTCTGAGTTAAAGCCTCAAATGAAAATATTTCGTAGGTTTTCTGTTCATTGACGCTTAAATTCTCTATTTTCATACAGATGCTGTTTAGAATTTTGGTAACATAAATTGGATTTCGTTATTGATCACGTTCACGTCCTTTTGGAACTACCCCAACCTGTCTTGATTTTATACAACCTGTCTAATTTATATCTCTAGTTATTCCCCAACATACGATGAGCTAATTCTTTGAATTGAAGTTTGAATTAACTATCACAAATCAGTTCAATTTCATCCCTGGTAGTTATTCATTTGGCAGACAGAGCGACTCATCTAGACAACCCAGTATTTTCTTTATTGAGTAAACCTTTTCATTTTTTATCTTGGGAATTTTAATAAACGGATATCCTTTAACTCTTGATGATAAGTCGTTTCATTTTGTAGGCACGTAGTTCAAACCTCTCAACTCTAGGCGAGTGTCAGATTAGTTGTTTCCAATTTGACGCTCTTGAGAACGAAGTAGTTAAAAGTGATGTCGTAGCTTTTGAGGATTCTTCTGATCAGTGTTCAAATATAAAATATATAACTAGAATGGAATATCAACCAAGTAGCCTTTGTGCACGTCTTCTTAAGAAGCCTTCTCAGCGTAAGATACGAGGTATGTCTTTTAAGTTTTGCATATGGAAATAAAACAACACGGTAGGTAGTTTTAAATGGCTTTATTGTTTTTCGAAGTATTCTCCACGAAGATTAATACACATCTGCATGCGCTCGAACCAATTTTCGAAACACTCGTTTGCTGGCAGATCCAAAACGGCATCTTTGAATGCGTCAACTGCTCCTTCTGGTGACTGGAACCTTTGACCACGCAGTCTGTTTTTAATTTTGGGTAAAGTAAAGAAATCGTTAGGACTTAGATCGGGACTATATGGAGGATGGTCCAATAATTCCACGCTTTCTTCCGTTAAATACTGCCTTGTTCTTTGGGCTGTGTGCGAGCTTGCATTGTCTTGGTGGAGGATGATTCTTCTTTCGGGGTTGATTTTTCGATGTTGTCTTTTTGCAAACAAATGGTGGTATACCAATCGTTAAGAGGAATTGTTGCAATATGACCCGCTTTTCACCTTGGAACACCCAAACAGCCGACTGTCGTTTATTTTCTGGTTCATAACAGTAAATCCACGATTCATCACCATTAACAATGCTGTACATATTTTTTGAGTTTCCGGAATTGAAACGGTCAAGCGTTTTTTGACACCATTTAACCCTGGCTGCTTTCTGCTCTTCAGTCAACAGGTGGGGTATCCAACGAGAAACTAATTTTCTTACTCCTAATTCTTCATGTAAAATTTTTTGAATTGAGGTCTTTGAGATCTTCTGCCGTTTTTGGTGCACCCACCCTGGGATAGTCGCTAAGACTCACCCGTCCACGTTTGAATTCTCCATACCAACGGGAAATTGTCGACTGATGTGGCGCTTTGTGTCGAAGGCATTCTTGTTGCGATAATTGTATCTGAAGGTTGTAATAAGTCATGTCGCGAAAATGTTCTCGGTTGAGTTCCATTTTTCTAATGACTTGGTGACACTTAAAAATTCACTGTAGTGAGAACACTGCACATATTGTTGTGAAACTTTGAATTTAAGTTTACTAAAGAGTGAGGTTAAGAGTCAGTACTGACGTTCGATCCGCGCGGCCTACTATGTTTCTATACGCAAAACTTAAAAGACATCCCTCGTACTAAATAGGTAAGTTACCTTACATCTTTTTTCCCAAATCGTTACCGCCCATTAAAAATTTTTCGTCTTATTAATGGTTTCCGTTACGCATCTCAAACAGCAATAAATTCTTTTACTTCCTACGCCCTTGGAAGTGATATATGTTTTCCGGATGTTATATCACGTAGGTTACTGCTATGCCAAGGACAAAAAAACTTTTTAGTTTCTGTGGTTGACGAGCTAACGGCAGGAAAACGAGAAAAACAAAAAACGCTCATACTATTTCCGATGTTTCAGAGGCTCCTGATAATTTTCTGAAAAAAATTGGAGGTGGTAAAAATTTTCAGTTGTAGCAGGTGGGGAGGGTATATTTCAGTTGCCAGACGTTAGTTTATTCATACAGTTCCATCCTCGGTGATTCTACACCTTCGACATATCACATATTTCACAAATCATAGATTTCTCCATACGTTTGCTATCTCTCTGTCTCGTGCATCGGGTGGCTGGCGAGTGACGATGCTAGTCAAAGCAACGTTGCCAGATGGTCGATACTGTCAGTAGGACAAAATGAGTGGGGACTAACGACTTCGTATGTCCCTATTTGACTAACTTGATCCATTTATTGATTTGTTATACAGGGTGTTTCAGTTTATTGTTGCATAGCTTTAAGATTCGATAGAACTTTTAAAATTAATGCATAAAGTCTATATAAACATGGGTCGAAAAATGCGTGGCTTCCGAAATACAGGGTGTTTAAATTTACTTTCTAAAATAGTTTTTTTTTAAATATTTCGAACAATATTTGATGTATAACAGTGAAAATGGGTAGGTATACAAGGGTTTTTTGGTACGCCAAAACGAACCATGGGCATAGTTTTACTGTAGCCGCTAGAGGGCGCTCTCTACTGTACCTGTAGTGTATTGAAATGACCGAAAATTTTTTGTTAGTGCAATTTTTTGCTTTTTGAATAGAAAAACTGATTCTTCGCACTTTTCAACATAAAAAAGCTCTCTTGTGAATTTTCGTTATAGTTAGCCGTTTTTGAGATATTTCGATTTTTGAGGTTCGATGCATTTTTAATTATTTATGATAAAATAACGTTAAAAGTCAGTATCTCGATAATTTTTAGAAGTAGGCTGTGCCTGCAAATATTTTTGAAATTGAAAGCAGAATAAGGTTAAACGTCAATTAGTTGACAGTTAGTTTTGTTGTCTGTTGAAACCTGAAACGTTTTTTTGCAATTGTGAATGCACGAAATTTAGTTTCTTTTACCTGTTTTTTTTTGTAAGTTTTATAAAAATGCCATTTTTATTCTCCAATCAAGAATTAGCGGATATTCATTTTGTGTATGGCTTTGTAAATGGAAACACAGCAGAAGCAGCCAGAGAATACGCACGAAGATTTCCAAACAGACGACATCCAACTCCCTCAGTATTTGTAATAGTGCATCGCCGAATAATTGAAAATGGTTTTGGAAATCTCCAAGGGATCAAAACATAAATGTTCGTTTCTGGTGCTTTGGGAATTTCAGCAAGCCATGTTCACCGTGTTCTTAGAAATGACCATAGACGTCCTTACCATTTGCAACCTGTGCAAGGACTACAGCCGGGGGACGGAGAACGAAGAATCACATTTTGTCAGTGGATTCTTGATAGAACTGATAATAATAGGGAGTTTTTAAGTTACGTTCTATGGATCTATGAGTCATGCTTCACTAGACGTGGAGTGGTAAATTTTTGATAATCAACATATTTGGTAGCATGAAAATCCGCATGCAGTTAGGGAAAGAAATTTTCAGCATGAATTTAGTGTGAACGTGTGGATTGGTATCCACCGTAATCGACTATTTGGACCCTACCTTTTGCCTGCAAGGTTAAATGCTGCGACCTTCTTGGAATCTTTAAAGGCTGAACATGCAAATATGTGGGATGATGTTATGTTAGATTTAAGAAGATTGGCCTGGTTCCAGCTTGATGGTTGTCCAGCTCACTATTTGAGAATAGTTAGAAACTGGCTGAACGAAAATTATCCAGAAAGATGGATCGGCCGTGGAGGACCAGTCGCCTGGCCTCCACGATCCCCTGACCTAAATCCATTAGATTTCTTTGTGTGGGGATTTCTAAAAGAAAAAGTGTACCAGACTCCCGTAACCACAAGAGATATGCGAATAGACAGAATCAGGAATGCATGTGATGAAATAAGGCCTTATTTGAATAATGCTATATCACGTTAGATCATTCGTAGATGTGAATTGTGTATTGAACAATTGGGTTTACATTTCGAGCAACTACTTTAGATTTTGTATGTTTTTCCTAACTATCCAATAGCATTTTAGTTGTAAATAATTAATTTAATTTGTTAAAAATAATATTGGAATATTAAACAAATTAATATTCTGTTTTTTTGTGTTTATTTGGAGTTAAAAATCGAAATATCTCAAAAACGGCTAACTATAACGAAAACTCACAGGAGAGCTTTTTTTATGTTGAAAAGTTCGAAGAATCAGTTTTTTATTCAAAAAGCAATAAATTGCACTATGGTCATTTTAATACACTGCAGGTACAGTAGAGAGCGCCCTCTAGCGGCTACAGTAAAACTATGCCCATGGTTCGTTTTGTCGTACCAAAAAACCCTTGTATACCAATTTTCACTGTTATATTGGGTTGTCGGAAAAGTCATGACGTATATGCAACAAAGTATGCAATTGCATGGTTGGAAGTACGTGAGTCAATGACATTTGTATGTTGATTGTGTAGTTTGACAGTTGACACTTCAAGCTTCATTTGCACCAAAAAATTAAGTGATTTATTTGAGTCTCGTCGATTTTAGAGGACGTTGAAGATGGACGACCAAACTGTGCATTTTCGTCACATTTTGCTGTATTACTTCCGCAAAGGCAAGAACGCAAGACAAGCGTGTGAAAAGTTGAGAAAGGTTTATGGAGAACATGCATTACTAGAACGGCAATGCCAGAGATGGTTTAAAAAATTACGAGATGGGGATTTTGATATCCATGACGCACCTCGATCAGGGCGGCCTACTGAGTTGGATAGTGACGAATTAAAGGCATTGGTAGGAGCAAACCCACATTACACCACACGGGAAATTGCAGAAACCTTAAAAATCCATCATTCAACCGTTCACGACCATTTGAAGAAACTGGGATACGTAAGCAAACTCGATCGTTGGGTACCACACGAACTGAGAGAGGTTCATTTGACGGCGCGTGTAGACATCTGCGATATGCTCCTTAAACGTGAGGAAAACGATCCTTTCTTAAAGCGCTTGATAACGGGAGATGAAAAGTGGATTGTTTACAACAATGTGGTTCGCAAACGGTCTTGGTCCCGAAGTGTAGATACGCGTAACACGATCGCGAAAGCAGAGAGTCATCAGGAAAAGGTGATGCTCTCTGTTTGGTGGGATTTTAAAGGGAACGTGTTTTTCGAACTCCTGCCAAAGAACCAAACCATCGATACAACTGTGTATTGTCGGCAATTGGACAGTTTGCAACAATCCATCATGCAAAAACGTCCGGAGCTCATTAATCGCAAAGGAGTTGTGTTCCACCATGACAACGCGAGACCGCACACAAGTTTGCTCACTCGTCAAAAGTTATTGGAGTTAGGATGGGATGAGTTACCACATCCAGCATACTCGCCTGATCTTGCCCCGTCTGATTTTCATTTGTTTCGGTCGCTTCAAAATTCCTTGCGAGAAATACGCTTTACTTCAGATGAAGCTGTACATCAGCACCTTGTTCATTTTTTTGCCGGTAAAGACAAATCCTTCTACGAGCGAGGAATTATGAAGCTGCCTGAAAGATGGCGAAAGGTCATCGATCAAAATGGGCAATACATTATTGATTGAAGTTTGTGCTGTATATGAATAAAATGGCCTTAAAATAAACAAAAAAAAGCGTCATGACTTTTCCGACAACCATACATCAAATATTGTTCGAAATATTTAGAAAAAACTATTTTAAAAAGTAAATTTAAACCCTGTATTTCGGAAGCCACGCATCTTGCGACCCATGTTTATATAGACTTTATGCATTAATTTTAAAAGTTCTATCGAATCTTAAAGTTATGCAACAATAAACTGAAACACCCTGTATATGTTTTCTACCAAACAAAAGTACGTAAATATTATTTCGTTGCTAAGTTCTCATCAGAATCGTCGATAAACTGTTAAAAAGTGGAAAATCATGGCAGCGTTTAAGCAAATTTATATTCCTGAATTATTTCAAATAACATAAAATTACAATAACGATAAAATACACAGAAAACAATTAGTTTGCCTGCAATTGAAGCATCCTGTTCATTTTTGCTGATAATGAAACAAAGTAATTATGTTGTTTCTGTGTGCGCATTTCTGTTTATACTTACATCTAAATATATATAATTTGCGGAACAGTTTCGTCGAAGATTAGTGCATGAGAAACAAAAATAAATATAAACAAATAAGTAATTAACCATCAATGTAGTGTAATGCAGACGTAAAGTGTAATGAGAATTTTCGTTCAAATGGTTACGGAGATTTTTACTAGTAGCATTGATTAACGTATTCTACCTGCAGATAGCCAACGTATACTATATTTGCGTGTCCACAAAATTATCCGAAATGCAATGAAATAGTGTCATTTATGAGAATTTGTTACAGCTGTGTTTCATCTCGCCGCAATCTTTTTTTCTTTATTAAACACTTAGATGGATAGGCACAATAAAAAGAATATATAAATAGGCATAGTATTGCTAAATTACATTCTTCAATTATTATAATTTTCTCGGACAATAGTACGATTTTTATTTTTTACTCAGAAATGGCGCATCGAAGGAAAGCAACTC